GTACGTGCTGCAGACGCGGTGGTCGTTGTCCGACACGGTTCTCGCTCCGTTGAACTCCACAGAAAGGGCACCGCCTTCAAGGTACGTCGGAAGTGACACGAGGAGCGTTCCGACGCTGTTCCGGTCGCGCTGCAAGGGCTCGAGTGGCGCTGCGTCCGACGCTGGTCGGCGAATGGCGACATGTGAGAGAACGGCCACGACGTTGTTGCTCCCCCACGCAAAGTGGTCCATCAACGTGCGGCCGAGGCCAGGCGTCCACATCGTCGGCGGCGGGCCACGTCCATTGCCCTGCTGCAGAGACGTCGGTGGTAGGATGCCGGACGGGTGGCTGGCAAGGACAGGGTCGAGGACGCGGGCGTCCTGGGACCACTTGCGGCGGCCGGGGAAGGCGGCGAGGACGAGGCCCGGCGCCATGGCGTCGTCCAGGCGGCCCATGTACGCGTACTCGAACGTGGCGCATGCATCGCGCGGGATGCTTCCGAGCGCGTCTTCGTACGGCGCCGACGCCGGGTCCATCGGCGCGCAGTCGACGTCGGTCATGCTGCGACCTCCTTGTCAAAATCGGAAATGAGCTCGGATTGGCCAAAATTCCACTGATACAGGAATGTTGGTCGTTTCCCGCCTGTCGCTACGCAGGAGCCTACAGCGTCGACTCTGGGCTGCTGCCTGGAGGAAGACGCTAGACAATGTCTCTACGAGCAATGCATCATGTTTAACGCCTTGGAGTGCACTAGAGCAACGCGCGGAAACGCTGTTGCGCCGGCAGCGTGATTGGATGGGGGATTTTCCGGATACGATGCGCACCCCAGGTTCGCGATCTTTCCGGATACAACGACAGAAGATTGGCCGAATGCGGTCGCATCGCAGGCGCACGTGTTGCCACGTACTACCTGTGCTTTTGGAGGATCCGACTGGGTCTCGGACCTGGTACCCCTATAACTGAGTCGAATGCGGCGTCTCTCACCTGCGAGCCCATGCTACTTATGCAGAACTATCATCTCTAGTCTGTACTAATATTTCCGATCGAATCCATTCGAATCCGCAAAGTACTATCAATCTCGGCGTGCTGCAAGTAAATTTGTAGGCGACCCTAAACGTTCACAGGCGCAACCGTTAGCTATCTGCGACTCTGTAGGTGGTTACTAGAAGAACGATGACGGGCAATTGTGCATTCAACGCTTGCTTTGGATCGCAAGCGGGCTATAGAATTCAACGACGTCATCGTCGCAGATCGCCTTGATACCGACATTGGTGGCGATGGCGACGAGCTCGTCCCTATGTCCTTGGAGGTTCTCGGACACCTCAATTTCAACGCGCACACATGTGCACGACGCGAGAGCGGAGAGGAGGTCGGTGACACCGACCAGTGAAAGATTATTGTCGACCAGCGAGAGCGTCAAAGGCGCTGTATTCGAGGCGTGGCGTAGCGCCGCCGCCAGCACGGCCGCGCCAGAATCGTCCAATGGGTCGTCGGAGAGGCGCAAGATGCGAAGCCCATGGTTGATCCAGTGCACGAGCGCCGGCCCCAGCACGTTCATCTTGGTTGAGACAATGCTGCAATCCTGGAAGCCCACATGCTCCAGAACGTGCGAGGACGTGAGACTCGCCACAAGCGTGTCAAAAAAGTCGGCGCTAAAGTTTACGCCATCAAACCGAGCGACGCGGAGACGCGGCCAGTGTCCGACGACGTCGTTTTCGTTGCGGACGGTGAGTGAGCACCAGCACAAGACGAGCTCTTCCAGCGCGGACGAGCCACACAGCGTGTCAAACACTGGATGCAGCGGCATGCTGCAGGAGAGCGTGACCGACGTTAGCGAGCGGATGTCGACGAGATCGAGAAGTCGGCCCACGTGAACGGGCACTTTGGTCCCGAAGCTAAAGCGCGTGAGGTGGCGCAGAGGCTCCCCGATACCGAGTAGCTGCTCAACAACGTCATCGCACGCGAAGATCGCAAGGCTGCGCAGCGTCGGCGTCCGGCTGACGGCGCGCGCGAGGGCATCGGTGGCGACTGGGATGCAGCGCAGACTCAAGTGCTCGGCGTGGCCACTCGCGAGCCACGACGTCACCAGCGGTGTCCAGTCCACGGCGTCACCTCGCGTCATCACCACGTTGAGTCGGGACACGTGATGCGCCACCGCTTGAAACACGTGCGTCATTATTGGTGACGAGTCCAGCGAGACCTCGCGCAGGCGCGTGCAGCGACGTAACGCTTGGCAGACCGCTTCGTTGATAAGGTTGGCGCTGCACGTGACGTCGATGGCCGTCATCTTGTGGGCCCATGAGGCCAAGAAGGTGCTAAACGCGTCGGGGCCCGGAAACGTACTGGGTACAAAAAATCGTCAATGGCCTCGTAGGCGGGCAAGGCGGCCGATGCAAGGGCCTCTTCGTCGTCGACGAGACCGAGGAAGCACGGTTTGGGCCACTCGTGCAGAAACTGGCCAGGCCGCGAGAGCAGCGTACGCAGTGCGCGGAGCGATGCGCCAAGCACTTGCGACGGCAACGCGTCCAGAAAGGCCACGACGTGCGCGGGCAATACAAGGCACTGGACGATCGAGATGAGGACGCCATTGCAGTGGAGGGCGGCCGCGGTGGCAGAAGGCGCTGCCATTCTTGATATGTCGAAAGAAGCAACTGACGTGGTGATTGGTTGAACCAACCAAAATGTTGTGTGCTTCTAGCTACACTGATAGTTCAGGTCGAGGGTCCAGCTGTCGTGGTTGACGATATTCTAGCCATCTCGAGCAACGTGCGAGCCCGATGAAAGCTGTCGAGCAGAACCTCGGCTGCGCCGTCTTGGCCCCTGTGCTCTACAATAGTGTACACTATATCTTGCCAATTGACCAACTTCAAGTGGCGTTTGTGTAGATTGATGCAACATTAAAAGTACCGTCAGTATAGATTCACGCAAGTTTGAACGCGATCTGATTGGTGCACGCTACCGATCGCATGGCGGGTGTCAATTGACAACCCGCGCTATGGATGCAACCTCGCTTCTTCACGTGCTGCCGTTTGTGGCCTCGCCAACGGACGCGCTTGCCTTGCTCACGGCGCTCCCAAGCGCTTCATTGCCGCCGCCGTTCACTGCGCTCTTGCATCTCTTCCAGCAGTCCAAGCACTTTGAATGGCCCGTCCCCCGTGTCGAGTGCGCTGGCAACATGCACATGGACCGTATGCTGGCCGCCATGCCCATCCTTCCGGCCGTCAAGATCGAGCAGCCGGATCACCTCGATGATTGCCTTCAGGCGGCGCGCGTACTCGGGCAGCCGCAGAGCTTGGTCGGCTTTCTGAAGACATGGCCTTCGCAGGTCGTCTCTCTCGCTGTACCCGCCGAGCTCACAGCCTGCGACAGCGACGAGCTTTGTCGTCTCATACACCAATGCACACGGCTCAACGCGGTGCAAGTCGACGTCGCCAGCGCCTACGCTAGGGGTCTTTTGCGCAGTATCAAAGAGGTTCGTCACCTCACGATGACCGACAACGGTGTCGACAGGCAATCACCTACAGCGATGCTCGTCCTTGGAGATGCTCTCCGACCATGGCTACAATCGTCTACCACACGGACGCTGGTATTGAACAACATGGCGCTCGCTACCGTTGACGCGGGTGTGTCGCTCGCCACCGTCCTCGCTGCCATCGCTGACGCGCCTCGCCATCAACCAATCCGACACCGTTGCACAAGCGCTTTTGGTATCTCGCCTGCATTTCGGTAGTCTCTCGCAGCTCAAAGTGTCGTTTGCCACCGTGCCGGGCCACTACCGACTCGTGGAGCGACTCGACGCATGCAAGGTAACGCATCTCGATGTCCGTGGGAATCAGCAAGAAGATCTGTCACCTTTGCTTGCAACGGTGTCGAGTCTGCCAGCGCTCACGCACTTGACGCTGGGCTACTGCAACCTCAACGAGGCGGTCGCCCAAAGCCTTGCAGGCGCGCCGGTGCTCTGCAGCGCACGGTTCTTCTCGGTCGTGTGGCGCACCGAGTCGGTGCTACGCAGCCTCCTCGCGTACCTCGGTCGGTCGCGCCGCCTCCAGAATGTCGCTTGGCGCCGCTGTGCGCAGATCGCTCGCGTGGCCCAAGCGTGGATGCCACCGACACTTGGTTGCGCGCAGTTTCTGGACTGCGACTTGGATGACACTTTTGTTTATGCGATCGCGGACGAGCTTCGCGCACGGACGATACCAACGCCGCTCACGATCCTTCTCGACTGCCATGCAAAGACACTGGCGCTGGAGAGCGTCGCCGCCGTCCTCCACGTGCTCGCGAGCACAAGAAACACGAGCGTGCATTTCGAGGTTGCCCAAGGGTACTACCTCCCGTGGTTCTGGGACAATGTGCGTCTCCAAGCGACGGTGGCCCGCGTTCAAGTGAAATTTGAGACTCGTCATGCTCGCCACCACTGCTACCTCGCCTCGCCAAGCCTGCAGACCGAAATGTAACCTTTGAGCAGGTCCATAGCCTACTACATTTAGTTGTACACTGTAGTACTATATGTACTGTAGTACGTAGTAGCATCAACCCACGCCGCCTGCTTGAGTTTTGTCCCGCGCCATTGGGTCGTGGCGACGGCTGTCTTCGAAAGCATTTGGCTAAACGTTCGTTGTGTTCCCGCAAATATCAACTTGACACACGCAACGATCAAGTTGATACAAACAACCACAACGGCCTTGTTACGGTTTGTACGGGCATGCGTCTGACGTGTGCACCGACTCGGGGACACCGCAGTGCACGCACTCGGCCTCTGGTGGCGACTGCAGCTTGATGGCAATGGGCGCTGGCGCCAGTGAGGTCCGGCGACTCTCGCCGCCCGTGCGCAGCATGCCCACGAGGCTGGCCATCGACGTGGCTGTCGGCGCCGCTGCGGGCCGCGAGACGGGCGACGGTGGCGCGGGCCGAGCGACCGGCGACGGCGGGGTCACCGGGCGCGGCTTGTGGACGGGTGTCGGCTTGGGCGCGGGCTTGGGGCGGAAGACGGCAAAACGAATTACCTTGTCCTTGCGCGCGAGCTTGCCGAGGAGCTGGATCACTTGCTGGAGAGACATAAGCGACGCGTTGACTTCGTTGATGCCAATCATGTACATGCCGGGGGTCACAAGGCCGCTGGCTTCGATCGTGCCCTTGATACCGGACGGCAGCGCGGTAAAACCTTGAACAACCGCGCACTCGGAGATGCCGCTGTCCAGTAGCACGCCGAGGGGTCCCGGCGGCACCGCGACCTCGACGGTCTTTTCGACAACCACGTCGTCGTCGTCGTCCGACTCGGAGTCGTCGTCCTCGTCGTCGTCGTTCATCTCGTGGAGCTCGGCGGCCGACGGGCGGCGCGGGCCCGACGACAGCGTGTCGTCTTCGTCGTCGTCATCGTCCGTGTCTTCATCAAAAAACGCTTGGCCTTCGAGGATGTGCTCCATGGCGGCCTCGACACGCGCATGCGACGGCGACTTCTCGGCCTCCATGTCCATGCCCACGTCCGTCGGAATGTAGTTGAGCTGCCGGAGCGGCTCCAGGTTCATTTCGAGACCAATGATCTTGTAGTCCGTGCCGGCCCAGAGGTTGACGAGGTAGTTCTCGCCCGTGGCGTAGTGCAAGGCGCGCGTGCTCTTGGTCTTGATCGCAGTGCTCGGGTAGTACTCGACGACTGTGGCTTCGCGGCCCAGGTGCAAAATCTTCTTGCCGTTGAGCGACTCGGGCTCCTTCATGGGCGCGATCGCCCTACCGTAGCCATGATGTCGCTGCTACCTATAGGAGCGTACGTACCCTTGGGAGCGCAGAATGTCAATGATCTGTGTGTGGCCCTTCCAGATCGCCAAGTCGAGTGCCGAGTAGCCGTCCTAGAGCCAATTCGATGAGCCATGGCATGCGCCGCAGTCGCCGTACGTCGGTGAGCGTCCAGATGCTTGCATTGAGCTGCAGCAGCATCATGACCATGGGCGTCGAGCCCATGACGGCGGCGCAGTGCAGCATCGAGAAGCCCCCGCTCTAACAAGTCGGATGAGGCCCACGAGAGGTGGCAGGCGCGTTACCTCGGTCGTGGCCTCGACGTCGGCCTTGCCAATCTTGAGCGTGAGGTACCGGCGCGCCTTGTCGACGTGGTTCTCAAGGATCGCATCCCGTAAGTACTGGTTCGTCTTGCCCTGGAGCAGGTTCATCGGGCGATCCTTCGGTCCTTGCCGCGGGTTGTTGACTGACGCTGCTTTCCGGATCGACCGGATGCGAGGTCCATGGAAACCTCTCATATTCGATGTTCTGCGGTGGGTGTTTAAAACAATAGCCTTGAGCAGCGTATGGTTGAATAAGTAAATATCCTTCAGCAATGCATATTATTAACTGCCTTTTGCGAGGTTTATGGGCTTCAAAAACCCGTAAGAATGCATACCCGAGCACAGGCAATGGAGGCGTGATCTTGACGACCGGAAGAATGATTGCAGCCGCGGTCGCCGACAGTCAACTTGACGCCACAACAGCTTGCATGCCCATCTCTTGTACTCCGAGGCACGACCCTAGCATGTACTAGAATACTAGATTGCAGCAAAAATGCCATCGGTTACGCCGCGACTGCGCTAGACCAACCCACGACGCAGAGCTACAACGCTGTGATTCTGGTCCAGACACGTCCCTACAGTGTATTAATACTACCGGTAGCCGGGCGTGCGTCGACTTGCGATGTGGTCGTCGCGGCCCCAGCGTTTCTCCGTCGCATCGTAAAAGTGTCATCCGGCGACAAAAATTTAAAACCCCAGACATTTGTGAGCACACATATATATGACATTCCTTGCCAATTCGACCCTTGCCACCCACTGCTTGCCACCACCGCAGCCCACGTCACGAAACTTCGGCTGTCCATGAGATCGCCACGAGCTTATCTCTCGTGGGCTACGCCGCGAGATGGATACATTATCGAATCTGTCGGTCCAGGACGAGGTTGCGTGGTCGTGGCAAGGGAATCTTGAAGCCATCCCTGGCTTGATTGAACCGAGAGGATGACCGAGATCCAACGAATCGCGGTCGGTGTCCATCTGGCGGCCAGCCCACTCTCTGCAATTAAATACCTCTCTCTTTGCATAGTGCCATCTTCATATGTGTGTCTTTTAACTTGCTTTTCGTATGGGTATGACAAGTGCAAACCTGTCTAACTTTATATCGGCGTCGCGCGCCTGTTACAACCACTCTGTCGGGGGGCGCCCCAGGTCAGTTGGTAAAGTTTCTGCTTCGCATCCCGAAGGTCGCCGGTTCGAGCCCGGCTGCGCGCGCGCATTTTTCAGTTCTCCGCCCCCCCTCCTCCCTGCGTCGCGCGATGTACCCGGACAGGGCCGAACCATGTGGGTCCAGGCCACCTCCGCAAGTGTCACCCAGAACACATGATGACGTAATCAGCTGCTCCAACAACAGGCCAAGATGAGACAATTTCTTCCAGCGAGCTCTGCTCATTAAAAATTAATTGACCCATTTCAACAATACAACCACTCTGTCCGGTACGTACATTCCGCTCTTTTAATCCACATTGTTAATTCGACATACAAACACCAAGTACATGGCGCAGATATGCATTAAAAGGCTGCC